CCGGTCGGCGGGTCCGGCGGTCCTTGGCCATGTCTACTCGAACACCCTACCCGCCCGGTTATGATAATATTTATATAATAATATATTCAATTATATTTATATATAATTTATACAATATAATAATATAATTTACTAAAATAGAATAGGAACTAGGTTTTGTTCACAGTTCACTTTTCCTTCATCCGCTCGGCGTTCAGGCCTCACCTGTCAATCACAGTTAACTTCTCACACCGCCCCGCCTCGCCGCAGCGCCTCCACCCCAACCTTCTTAACTCGCCGTTTTACGACCTCAAAGCCTCGCCTCAGTCGCCGCTTCCTCCTCGGCTCTCGGCACCCCACAGCCCCATACCACCACCATAAATCGCTTGTCGACTCCAGCGGTAATTTTTTTTTCATTGGAGATTATGAATTAGCTTGATTAGAACTTCAATTGAAATGATTCGGGTCTAATTATTTTTATATTAAATGTAGTTTTCATGGGAAGAGAAAAATCATCTAACTACGCATATTGTTTCTATCGTTTTTATATATCTAAAGAATATAATTATTCAAACACAGAAAATGAGGATGAAATCCAGGCTGAAAATAAAATAAAAAGAAAATGTGATGGATTCTGCAGAGAATGGGTTGGGTTTAGTCTCAATGGGGCCAGGACAGACCAGGTCGCCGGCTAGACCAGCTGGACCCGTCACGGGTCATGGGCCATATTGGGTCCGTGGGGCTGGCGTGCTGGCCAGGTCCGGGCCCATAACTACCCGGCCGGACCTTGGCCACTGCCATCCCTACAAGAAATGTGTGAAACCATAAAAATACATGTTGTAATTTTCGGTTAACTGGTTATTTAATGAGAGTCATTGTATCCAATATAAATAGCCTCTAATAACATGTGCCTTCTCTTTCTCTCTTTCTTTCGGTGTGTGCTTCCATCGAATAAACCTTCGTCCACTCTAAATTGTGTTATTCTCCAATTTGCCAGCCAAATCTGACTACACATTCCATTCGATAGTATACGAAACTTTCTATTGAAATAATGACTGCGGCTCTCCTCTGCAACTCTACCATTTCCTCGTCTTTCCATGGCCGTCGACTGTAAGTTTCTCTTTACTTTTATCTCTTACCTTTTGAATTTCTAGTAGTTTTCCTTGTTTACAAACACTTTTCGGGCTTCTTAATGTTGTTCCATTCCCTTTTCCTTGCTTGTGTACAGCTCAATTCGAGGCAATTCAGGAAAACCTAAACCTTGCTCCTTCAGTCATCGGAGCCCTAGATGTGCTGTGGATACGCCATATGAAGGTGAACGTATCGAATTTAAAGGATCACGAGTGAAGAATGTTTGAATAATTTATTATGTAAAAGGGGCATCTCATGTTTATGACTAGAGCTTCCAAGAATTGGGTTCTGTTTTATTTTGCAATTGCAATATTACTATCATTACTAAATTATGCTCAGGTTTAAATGGCGCACGTGACATAAAAATTTAGATGCCATACGACTTTCTTTGTGTAGATTAAAATGAAAAAAAGTTTTGCTTGCTGCCTCATGTTTGGAACTTCTGCAGGTGGAATTTCAAAGTTCCCTCGGATAAGGGTATGGAATCCTTATAAGCGGCTGGGTGTAAGTAGTGATTCATCAGAGGAAGAAATTTGGAGTGCTCGGAACTTTTTGTTGACACAATATGCAGGCCACGAGGCAAGTGCAGAATCAATAGAAGCAGCTTTTGAGAGACTGCTGATGAACAGCTTCTGGAATAGGAAGAAAACAAAGATTAACTTAAAAACCAAGCTAAAGAAGAAAGTTGAGGAGTCTCCCCCGTGGATTAAGAATTTGGTCAGTTTTGTTGAGCTTCCTATTCCGCCCCCAGCCATCATTTTAAGACGGGCTTTCCTGTTTGGTTTAATGGCTGGCTGGAGTTTAATGAACTCTGCAGAAGCCGGGCCTGCCTTCCAGGTTTTTTCCCTTTCATCCATTTAGATGAAATTTTATGGTTTGCGTCAAATCATTTTTGCATTATTGTGCCTATCGTATGCAACAAAAGCTGAAAATTTGAACAGCTTGTTAAAGAAGGGAGAATGGAACTCTTTTATAAAAGGGCTCTAATTAAGCTGCAGATTTTAAGGGCAATATCAAGAATGAAATTAGGGTTGGCTGATTATGATCTATGATAAATGATTAGTGTTTGATCAGGAATAGAATATTCGTTATCATAATTTGCATATAGTAAATTAATGACCTACAAGAACATGCATCACAGAATGACTACTCCCATTGCACCGTTGATTCTGTAATTCTTTCTTTTGCTTTGGACACCATCTCTTTGCTCAATCATCTTGTGTTGGTGTGCACGATATAAAATAGTTTTTAAATTGCAATCATATTACCAATTTGCATATTGCTGGATGGAATTGAAACCTGGAAAACTAGTAGTAGTTAGTGCGATTTGGATAGAACTTTAATATGTGGGGAATGAGAGCGTCATATGTGAAACATGAAATGGCTTTCTTAATTATAATTAGTGCGGTGGTATGAGTCTATTCTATTGGCTCTCCTTTACCTTGACGTGGTGGAAGTCATCAGTTCGAGCCTACACCGGTAGCCCTCAGAAAGAAAGGTCCCTCGAGCTTATTAGTAGGTATTAGGTAGGGTCTTCCACAATATCTAATATCTAATTTCGTTTGAATATAAAGCAAAATTTTGGATTTTGGCTAATTTGTAAAATACATATGCTTGTGACACGTCGGATAAGTCATAACAAGTATATGAATCTTCTTCACTATTACTAATAGTATGCAATCTAAATGCCGTCTGGGTGAATATTCAATCGCAGAAAAGATCCCAGCTGGGGATTGAATAATTTATGTATAGTACCCGCCGCTCTAACTAATTGTCCACCCTTTCCAAGTGTGATTTCTATGGCCCAAGATTGGATTTGTTTGAAAACCTCCACTTCGACGTTTGAGTCTGATAGTTCTTCCTATTTAATGGTTCCCGCTGTCCGTGTAAAATACTTACATCAGGCAGGGTGAATTATATAGTAGGCATTTAATTTGCTGCAATCTTTTTGGTTTATTGAAATCTGATCTTGTGCTTTTGGATCAATGAATTCTGTTAAGCAGTAAAGTTTTTCAGTTAACTTGGCAAAATAGATGAAAGATCTGTAAAAGAAATATATATATTAAGCTGAAGCAAATTTCTCAAACTCTTACACGTTTCCTTTGCCCGATTATCTGGTTCGAATAAAATTCATTTAGCTCGAGACAAGTGGGTTACATGTTTATATCATTACATTTTTTTGCCCTTTATGCAGGTGGCATTATCTCTTGCAGCTTGCATATACTTCCTCAATGACAAGAGTAAAAGTTTTCCTAGAGCCGCCATTATCGGGTGAGTTCTGTAGGAGTTTCTTTTTCTGCTTACTTTTCAGTACTGTGTCTTGGTATAAGTCCACTCAAGAGAAATATCCTGTGATGTTGTTGCAGATTTGGAGCTCTTGTAGTCGGTTGGATCTGTGGTTCGATTTTGGTTCCCTTTATTCCGACATTTTTGTTGCTGCCCACTTGGTCTCTTGAACTCCTTACATCCTTGGTAGCATATGTTTTTATGTTTTTGGCATGTACTTTCCTCAAGTGAAACTTACTTTATAAAAAAAAAATAAAAAAAAATCACTATATTCTATTGGATGGTGTAGAAATTGACATAATTTTGTTTGAATTGTGATTCAATAATATTTCTTTTGTGATCCTTTATGCATTTGAAAATCACCGTTGATCATTATAGATTCATTTTGGTCTTTTGTATGCTATGCTCGGTAAACTAGTTAACAAGCTAGCTTATAGTTTTTAAGTGAATTTCGAGTTTATAGCTGGTAGTTTATGACTTATGGCTTAAAAACTTAACTTATATGATTAAAGTATTTGGTAAGATTAGCTGATAAGTTAGTTGAAATAAAAAATTTAATTGACTTATTTTAAAAGCTATGTAATGAAGCTTATAGGATTAGCTCGAACATTTTATAAAAGTTCTTACCAAATCAAACTTATTTGAATACATCAAAATTATAAACTAACAAAATATGCTATAAGTTAGATTATAAAGTAATTAAATAAGTTATAAGATAGCTTATATGCTTACCAAACACACTCTTAGTTTTTCTATTTACTCTCATCAGTAATGCTAAGGAGCCAACAATCAATGAGACAGCTCCATGTAGTGTCCCACATTGGAGCAATGTGAGACAATTCCACATGAAGCTGTCTCATTGTCTGTTGGCTTCTTAGTATTATTGGTACTCTCATTGGCACAGTTTGTTATCACGCTTTGCCCTAGTACTTGGGCTACTTTGTGATTCACTAAACAAATGTTAGTACACTCGTGCTATTAAATTAAATGAGTCTGACTCGACACGGTTTAAGTTCGACTCGTTAAGGCTCGAGTTCGACTCGAGCTCGAGACCTTAACGAGCTGAGCCCAAGCTCATTTAGAGCTTGTTTAGTTAACGAGCCGAGCTCGGCCGACTCAATAAGACTCGAAAAAGAATTTTTATAATTTTCTATAGTTGGACTCGTTAAAACTTGAGATCGGCTCGTTAAGGCTCAAGCTCGAAGCCTCAACGAGCCAAGCTGAAGTTGGATTTCTACCTCATTTACAAGCCTAGTAATCACAAACGCATATGTGATAATAGCCTAGAA